AGCTGGCCAAAAATGAAATTCCCCAAAATTTCAGTACTTGAAAAATGTTACAAAATTTGAGACATTTCACGCTGAAGATTAAAGTGAACATTTAACACAATGCTCACAATATCAGTTCTCAAATTTAAAGTTTTCTTTAAAAGCTTAAATTTGATCATGGAAAGTCTTTTATACTTTTTAATTAAACTGAAAAAAAGCTATTTTTCTTATCAAAATGTCTATGAGGCTTTAGTGAAAACCATGCACAACTTGCAGAATCAGGGATAAGCCCAGGCATATCCCGCATGAGAAGTGGGAGCCTGAATGAGGTGCCACAAGCCAACAGTGCACCTGCACGGCGCAGATCAGCCGTGGTAAAGGAGCCCCTGCCCATGGGACTGACACAGCACCACTCTTTACAGATCAGAGCTGGGTCACTCATCTTCAACTAAAACTTGTCTCCAGACAACTTCATTTCATTTTTAGCTTCTTTTTCCTTAAATCTCTAATTTCATAAATACACAGGATGTGGGGAAAGGATTGCTTACATATAAATGGCACTAAACAATATTAATATACGTGTGTGTGTGTGTGTGTGTGTGTGTGTAAAAGCCTAAGCGATTGTTTGACCATTCGACCAGTAGCTATGATCTGCACTGACCATCTGTGGGGACTGGGCTGAAACTGGCAGTCTGACATCCCCTGAAGGGTCCCAGATTGCAAGAGGGTACAGGCCAGGCTGAGGGACGCCACCAGTGCACGAATCCATGCACTGGGCCTCTAATATTAGATAACCATTTCTAAAATAAGTTAGCATCACATTGTTCACCCCCACACACACACGAAAAAATGCTGGATTAAAAACTTAAATATAAAGAAGTTTGGGAGGGGATGGACCCTCTTTTTAGAAATGACAAAGTAAAAACAATAAAGGAGAAAAACTGTCTATCTGAATACATAAGAGTTTTAAGCTCCACATGGTATATAAACTAAAGAGAGAAAAAAATTTAACATGGTGGGGGAGTATTTTCAACAGGTATGGCTGATAATAATCTTAATGTTTTAAAATAGGATTTCTAAATCAACAGTACACATTTCTCATTAGCCTAACCACTTTCCCCTGCAAAAGCACAGGACAATATTTTAATTAATTAATTATTAGCCAGGTTTGTGCTAAGCACTTTACACCTACGTGAAATACGATCTTCAGTGCATTAAAATTACAAGGTGCAGAGAATTTCTTTTATATAAGTTGTCTCTACATTAACAAAGTGGAGAATTATAGTCACTATTACTGTAATAAGTATGTATGGTGCCAGGAGGGTAACACTTATCACGGCACCACTCTGTAAATTATATGTCTATGCTGTACACCTGAAATCAGTATTAAAAAAATATTGAGCCAAAACCAGTTTGGTTCAGTGGATAGAACATTGGCCTGCAGACTGAAAGATCCCAGGTTTGATTCCGGTCAAGGGCATGTACCCTGGTTGCGGGCACATCCCCAGTAGGGTGTGTGCAGGAGGCAGCTGATGGATGTTTCTCTCTCATCCATGTTTCTGTCTATCCCTCTCCCTTCCTCTCTGTAAAAAAAAAAAAATAATAATAATAATAATAATGAAAATAAAAAAATATTGAATGTCAACTATAACTGAAAAAAAAAACACACTCTTTTTAGCAGAGATTAAGGTGACTTTAGTAATTCAGCCGTCTTCTCTGGTCACTTCCCCAACTCCTCTCTTCTTGAAAAATAACTTTTACCTCTAACCGATAAGGAAATGTGTTCAAGGTTAGCACGTCTGTAAATGACAAAGCTGAAATATGTGTCTCCAAAACCCTTACACCTGACACTTTAAATTCTCCATGAAACTTACGAGTGTTCCCAGGACCAGCAGAAATAACAACCCAATGGCCTTTCCAGATCTGAAAAGCAGTCACACAAAGAGCATAGACAGTCCAGAAATGGTATCACTGAAATGCTTAGTGTTTGTTGATTCCCTATGGCCAAAATGCTGTATAGTCAAAATAGGATGAGATCTTGAAAGTCACTGTCAAGATTCATCAGTGAAATGCGAGAATTTAATCACTCTGAATAGCTAAAGTCACAACATGGCACATAACTCCTTCAGAGAACTACTGAGGCCTGGCTATAGCAACTGCTTTCGGTTGAATAACTTAATACAGTTTGTCCAATACTGAACAGCTTAAGCGTTTTCTAGGAGGAAGAACCACAGCCCACCCACCATTCTTCCCCTCTTTTGAGGCAGCTACCACTCCTCTCCAACACCAATCATGGGATTCTCTCCACCACAGGGCTGTGCAAGCAACACAGAGCCAGCCGATCAGAGGTCCCCATTCCAGGCATCGCTGACTGGTCCACGGTGGACATGCAAAGGGAGGTGACAGATGGTAGCGGTGGGGATGGGGCCAGCAAGCAGGCAGCACCAAGCTGGCCAAAGTGGGTGCCAGTGCAGGGCCCCCCAATCACCCTGCTGGTCACCCCACAGATCAGCCCTGATCGCCAGCCAAGCCTAGGGACCCTACCCACACGTGAATTTCATGCACTGGGCCTCTAGTTATCTACATATTGCAGGTGAGAAAAGGGAAGCAGAGAGGCGGTCAAGATTTCACAGCAAAGAGAGCCAGAATGAGAACACAGGTTTCTCTGACTCTAAGACCTTTGCATTGTCTAAATACCAAAATAACAAATTCAAATGGAATGCATTAATCAATAATAGATTTCACTAAAAGACTGCTCCTATCATTTTTGTTTTCACTCTGAGCACTTGGAAAAAAAGACCTAAGTATTTTGTTGTCATGGGATTCCATGCAACCAATATTTTCTGTAGGAGTTGACCCATGGACCCTGCTGGGTATCTACCTAGATCCCGTGTATTAAATGAAAGAAATCATGGTCTTCATCTTTCAAGGAAGAGCGCGTCAAAAAAGGTAAGACGACAATGATAATCGAGTCCCACAGAAAAAGGGATGACTCTGTTTGCCCCATTCTCCACTGATGAAATTCTACAGACTGGGTTCTTATCACGGCTGCTTCATAGAAAGAGCACGTGGAGAGCAATTAAAGGATATATAATTTTTAATCCTGGTCTGATCCAATGACCGATGCCCTATGAACCTTGGTCAAATGATGTAAACACAGGAAGGGAGGTGACAGATGCCTACTCCATATCCTACAGTAGTCAGAGGAGTTGCCTGAAGTCTATGAGAAACCTAAAAAGATGTTGTAAGTGACAATACCTAAAATTAAGAATCCTGATGTCTTAGGAATTCTCCTGACCCTACTCAAAGCATAGGGTAAAAACATGACAACATGGCTTTCCCAGGTTGTCCCTCTGCCCAAACTTCTTATGCATGAATGTGTGGTGGAATGTCTTTCATCAGTTTCACAAAGACTTTAGTTTTTTAGTTACACCTTTAGCTTTCACTTAGACGTCTGCCCCATTTAAATGAGGAGTTCTGCTGCTCAGGGGACCTGGCCTGTCCCACCTTTTGGCTGCCTCTACTCTGGCACATCAAAATTAAGATTTCAGTGATGGTTCTACAAAACAAAAATTCATTAAAATGGAGATGATGTTTTCTAAACGGCAAATAAAGACACTGTTAAAAATTAGCTGGGTAAAGCAAATACAACTTATAAACATCTGCCACAAAATAAAGTATTGTGAGACAAAGCACTAAAAATCAATGTCACTGTATCAAAATGAAATGCTAACACCTTCGTATTGTTTCCTTCAATGGCTTGATTAAAATGTTGCTTCTACAGAATTCTAGCCAATACAAAAATAATTTCGTTTCCACCAATTTACAACGCTTCACAGCAGTATAAACCTCTGCTTCTCACGCTTATTTTTTCATGACCTCATGCTGGTCTTCAAGTCACTGCCTCTCCCCAGGCAGCTAACTTGAGTTGACAAACCTGGCTCTGGAAGTAGTTCTGCTTTTAGGAATAGAGAGTGCTGATGTCCTAGGAATCGGCCTGACTGTAATCCAATCACAGGGCAAAAACCTGACCACGTCCAGGCTCTCATGCCCAAATGGCCCTTTCATCTGGGGGATGGTCATCAACTCTGAATGAGGGAGGGCGCCCCCTCCTCCTCCCAATCCCATACTTTCGATATCGAGCCGCCTGTCCCGAAGGGAGGGCTGCGGTGGAAGGGGGGGAAGAGAAGGCTGGGGGGGGGGGGTCGGTGGTCCCCAGAGAGACAGGTGCCCACCAACACACAGAGCCGGTCCTGGACGTGGAAACCCCGGGTTCGGCTGAGCATTCCTAATGCGCCGCCTTCTTTTCTCCGTTCACATCGAAAGGCGACTGACTCCAGCTGCGGCCGTGAGTGGTGTGCATCCGCCCAAACCCAAACCGTCCTGCTGCTTTTTTTAAAAACCAATTTTTAAAGGAGGCCTCCATCCCTCCCCGCCGTAAGGGCCGCTCGCCGTTTTGAACTTGCTCTAAGTTTCACAACGGACTGTTTCCTAAGGAAAAACCCAATCAAAGCCTAAGGGCTCGGCCCAGATCTCACCGACCGATTCGTAATGACAAATGTAAACGCGCACACACACACAGAAATTACAGACTCCCCATTCAGGAGGGGGTCACACATACACACGCACACACACGCGCGCACACACACACACACACACACACGCACGCACGCACACACAATGGAACTAGGGCGCCAGCCTGCTGAAGATCTCAACCTGAACTCCATGGAAACCAGAGGGAATTCCGACCCGTCCGGCAGCGAGAAGGCTTTGGGGAGGCACCTCTTCTTTTCGAAGAACGCTTTTTAAAAAAAACAAACCAATGCCCATGAAAAGTTGGGAAGCAATGTCTTCGGCATTCAAGGGTCGGAAGGCAAACACCAAAGCGCTGCGGGGCGCCCCCGAGGAGGAGGAGGGAAAGGGGGGACGGGGGTCGGAGGCGGCCCGCGCCCAGCGCCCGCTCGCCCCCCGCCCGCCTCGGCCCCCGCCCCCCGGGACCCGACCCGGGACACGCCCCGTACCTGTGCGGCCCGCCGGGGGGCGCCGCCGGGGCCGCGCTGCCCGCCCCTCTCGCGGCGCCCGGTCCTGCGGCCGCGAGCCAGGAAGCCGCCCGGGCCTGCGGCTTCCCGCCGCCGCCGCCCGCGCCGTCCTCCGGGGCCAGGGCGAGCTGGCTGAAGGCGTAGAGCAGCGAGCAGAAGCCGCAGGCCAGGCACAGCCCCGCGAGGCGCAGGTAGCGCCGCATCGCGCCGGCCTCGCCTCCCCGCCGCCGCCGCCGCCGCCGCGCCCGCCGCGAATCAGAGCGGAGGGAGCGGCACCGCGCAGCCGCGGGCGCAACAAGTTCCTCCGCCGCCGCGGCCGCCGCCGCCCTCCGCCGCCGCCCTCCGCCGCCGCCCCGGCCGCGCAGCCTCCGCGCGCTCCTCCCCGAGGGCGGGCCGGCCGCACGCGCCTGCGCACTGAGCGCGGGAGGGCAGGGCGCGCTGGCCCGGCTCCCGGAGGCGCGGGCCCCGCGGGGCGCAGGGAGACGCCCCTCCCCGAGTGCCGGGCTCTGAACGGCGGCGGGATGCACGGGCGCTGGAGACCGCTGACCCCAATCCAATTCTCTACTCGGCAGCCCGCGATGTGGACAGCCTAAGTTCTGGGACCCTGTTTTTTCGTCTCTAAATGGAGAGAATATCCTTCTCCCCGGGAGGTTGTAAAGACCAAGTTGCTCAACGCACATAAAACGCCCTTCCCTTAGAAGGCACATGACTAAGCCGCCTTCCAGCTCCCAGCTCCCTCGTCCTCAGCAGGGACTTCCCCGGACTCTGAGTTTGTGTAAGACTGTCTATTGGAGCCATTTCACCCGGGTCCCTCGTTATCTTTAATACGGTTGGGAAGGCTTATTTATTTTCCCTCCCAAGTGTTGGACAGCAAGAAGGGCACCAGGTGTTAGACCATTGGGGTCAGACCGGACCTGGGTTCAGCAACCTCGATGCTTGAGCCTTGCTAAGAAAGAATTCAGAGCCAAGACTCAAACTGGAAGAGAACATGTTTTTGTAAAATCATAGAGATGGAGGTGATTGGTGGAAGAAATGGGTTTAGGAAACAAGTTATGGGGCCTTTGGAGCTCAGAAGCGAGGAAGGTAATGGTAAGGAGTGTGTGTGTGTGAGGGGGGGGGGGGGGGAGAAGAAGGATGATTCTCCTAAGGGTTTTAAGGGTGAACGTTAAAGGGGAGGTCCCAGGGGAAGATCTCCAGAGAATATGCATCCACTTTCCAGGTGTGCTCTTTCAGGGTCCTGGTCTCCACTGGTTGATTGGTTGGTGCCAGTGCAGGGGGACAGTGCATTTGGTCCTGAGGTCAGCATGACCTTGCTTGTCTGACTTTGCTGCTTATCTGGGCCTGGAGAGGTCATGGGATCCAAACAGCACCTGAGGCCTAGATGTTATCCCTAGAGAGGAGAGGTCATGGGATCCAAACAGCATGACCAGCAAGATGCTAGGGAGGCAAGGTCACCCTGGGTATGAGGTCCTACACCACAATTGTTCTTTGCTAGGCGCCCAGGCCTCTCTGCCCTGGTGGCCTGTACCTGGCCCATCATCCTTGCTCTGCTCCTGTCTGTCTACTCACAGGAGCCGGGAAAGCTGAGATCCCTCCTTTCACATCTTTTTGGCCTTCCTCACAACTCACTCACACATCCAAAACAATTTCATATTCTCCCTACAGAGCTTTCTCTTTAGCTATGCGTTTCTTCTTCCTCTTCCTCAGCCATATTCCTACTCCATTTGCTCACTGGACATATACAGAGCACTACTATGTGCGAAGTGCTCCGTGTGTACCTGGAGTATAGGGACGCTATGTTGGGAGTGTAGGGTGGAACAGTGGATACTTGTAAGTACAATACAGACATTCGGATGTAAGCCGGTAGAGGTGTGGACACACACACACAAAGGAACAATCAGTTCACCTTGGGTGTGGTCAAGAGAAAGTTGGCCCTAGAGTATGGGGAGAATTAGGGATAGGGTGTGTGTGGGGGGGGGGGGGGGGGTGCTGGGGGGTTGCATTAAGGGAATTCCAGGCTGGGAGAATCAATGAAACAGGCTCTTGTGTTTAGTGAATTGCGAGAAGTTTGATACCACAGCTAAGTGAATGCAAGAGGTGATATGATCAGCGATAAGACCATAGAAGTTGAAGGGGCTAGTTACTTGAGTGCCTTGTTTAGTATGCCAAAGAGTTTGAACTTACTCTGGCAGATAATGGTGAGCCACTGAAGGTGTTTTTGTTTTTTTTTAATTAGGAAGTAACATAATCGCATTTGCCTTTTAGGGAGCAGATTCTGGCTGGGACAGAGACTAAGACTGGAGCCCGAAAGCAGCTCCAGTACCGAAAAGTGAAGGAAAGGAAGCTTTACACACACACACACACACACACACACACACACACACACACACATATTTCAGAGAGAAAAATCATGCTATTAAATTGTTCAATTGCATTTGGAGCTCTGGAGAGTTTGGTGAGGAAGTGCTATGTAACTTAACAGTTCTCCATTTGAAATTCCAAGAAAGTGCTGGCTCTGTGACCAGGAAAGTCACTAAACATTTAAAAAAAAAAAAAAAAAAAAACCATATCTTATTGATTTCAGATGGGAAGGGAGAATGAGAGGAAGATTGAAAAATCCATGATGAGAGAATCATGGATAGGTGGCCTCCCACACGCCCCCTACTGGGGATTGAGACGGCAACCTGGGCATGTGCCCTGACCTCCTGGTTCATAGGTCGATGCTTAGCCACTGAGCCACGCCGGCCCGGCAGTCACTAAACACTAAGCCAGTTTCTTCCCCTATAAAAATAAAGGGTCTTGCCTTACCTGACAAAAAATGAAAAACTAGCATCCTATCAAGATGTGTGAATAGAATGAAAACATACACTTATTCATTCAATAAACATTTATTGAATATATTCTACATGCCAGACAAGGGATTAGAGTGTACTGCCCTCAAAGGGGAGACAGGCAGATAAAAACGAAGACAATATTAAGTTATTCCTTCCACTACACCTTACAATTCTTAGAGAAATAAACGCAAGGAGATACAAAGGACAGTAAGCACTTATAAGAATGGAAAATAGATTTTGAGAGGAAAAAACTAAATAATTCGACACCAAGAAACTAGAGTAAGAATTAGTACTCAAATCAAGGATGTTTAATATAAAGAGATGCTAACTACAATTGTTCTCTATCTCAACAAAGTAATTAAATGTAGTAAAAATAAAAAATAATGACCCACAGATTGTTAAAATACTGGAATGGCAGTTTTCATTTCTGCAACAATTTATGGGAAGAGCATATCCAGAAGAATAATCCATTTACTTGACATCAGGGTTCTGGACCATATCCTCTCCCCTTAGGCTCCTTTTAATCCTGTAATTAAAAAGGAAATTCTGTTGAAAAAGTATATAAGGTATCCCAAAAATAGAAATGATTTTTATGTTACTCACATACTATCTTATGTGGTTGTCTTGGAGTATAAGGAACTGTGTGCATGCCCTTCTGATCATTTTTAGATTTCACATTACATGTTCATATTCCTAAAATTAAGTTATTTTAGATATTTAGGATATTTTAATGTTATAATAGTTTACTATGGTTATGTACATATTCCTAAGCCTATTTTTTCATGTTTAGACCATCCTCTTAATTTTCTAATAATAGGCTGGCTATATCCAAATTTTTAATCAATTTTTATCTTCCTTTCATCCTGTCAAAAAGGTAAATTTTGGCAGATAAAAAGAAATTTAAAAGTAGCAATATCTATTGTTTAAATTATGGAGATAGAGCTCTTTCCCATGATCTGGAAAACTCTCATATCCAGGATAATCCAGATCTCAAGAATTATTATATTCAAAAGATTAATCTTGATTTTTCTTAAAGCTCTTAGTACCTGTTGGATATTAATAGACATTCAATTCAGGAGTGTTTTTAATTTTTTATGTCTTCTCTAAGTCTCTCTAAACTTTAGGTTCTGCTCAGTATTTCTTTCTCACCTCTATTTACACTGAGTATTTGATCTTAATTAAAAAAAAGAAAAAGAAAACATACTATTGAGGAAAAAGGTAAATTCTATACCTTTTCAGAGGAAAGTTCAAGGACATTTTTATATAACTTCTACTTTATAAAGGTCTATGCATAACCTAATTTAATCCTTATAACATTCATATGAAGGAGATATTTTATTCTTTTAAATAACAAGGAACCTGAAATTTAGAAAGGTTTGTTAACCACATCACTAATAATGAAGATCCATAATTTGAATGAAAATCTTTGAGGATACAAAGACCATGTTTGTTTTTTCCATTATATCATGTTGTCTCACTATGAACAAATAAATGCTAACCTGAGTGATGCAAATTAAAAAGGAAACAGAAACACACTGTTATATGAAAACCTTTTAGACTGATCTTGGAGGTTACGGTAAAATAAAATTTTAAAACAGAAAGACAAGTCAGATTAGTTAGAGCACAAAGAATCAGGAACTCAGACTATTAAGTAAAAATTATCCCCTCCAGTAGGCCTCTAACGAAATTTCTCCATTTTCCAGTCTACTTCCTAGAAACCTTGTTGGACTGAAATAAAAAGTTGGAAAATAATATAGTTAGTTTAAGCAAAAAGAATTTCATTTAAAGTGTTCATTCAGACCAATAAATGTGGGAAAAGAGGAGGGTCAGGAAGAGAATGAAAGAGTACAAAACTAAGAAAAGCTCAGCTACAGGCCACAAAAAGTGGTAGTAGAAATCCAATGAATGGGGATACCTTTTGGATTCTTTCCAAAAATCCGGACTGTTTTAAAATGCCGTGGGATGCGGGACAAATTGCTAAAAATCGGGACTGTCCCGCCAAAAGCAGGACGTCTGGTCACCTTACCTTGGCTCCTAAATTATCCCAGAATTTACATAGCATTTCTATCTACAAGGGAGATATGGAGGAGTTGGAGTGAGGAAGGGAGAAAAGACTATTTTATGGACCATTTCTGTATTTTTCCCTGGTTCAATCTTCACTCCCATTATTACAATAGATAATAATCTACTAGAGGCTCAGAGCACGAATTTGTGCACAGGTGGGGTCCAGCCAGTCCCACCACAATCAGGGTATGGGGGACGATTTGGGGTGGGGCCAGTGGAGTGGGAGGCGCCACAGGTGGTTGGCCCACCCTGCCCCTGGTCAAACTCCTGGTCGAGGGGACAACTTGGGCATTAGCCTTTTATTA